CCGCGTGCTTTTGGGCACCTGGTATCTCACAGCCAGGTTGACAGAGAGCATTGAGCCTGCTCCACCTTACCTTTCGGCCTCCAGTGTGTCGGACTGGGGAGATGGTGATGCTGGAAGGCAAAGCTGCTGGCAGAAACACTGCCCGGCCCCTGTGTAGCAGTGTTACCCCCACCCGACCTCACGGCCATCCGAGGGGGCTGAGCAGTGCTCTGGCTGGGTGCTGTGAACCTGGAGCCACAGCCTGACTCTCCTACACACACCCCCCCCCCCCCCGCCACACTCCCCCCCCCCCCAAACCCCTGCTAAAACGCTTTTTGGGACCGGGTGCCCATGCAGGACAGAGCTAGGCTCGCTGGTGTAACCCGAGAAAGTTGACGGCCTGCCTGTGGAAAACTCCCGAGAAACTTTTCCCGCTGGAGAGAGGTTTGTGTGGATTTCCATAGAAAAATCTCAAGCCCAACCTTCTCAGCAGCTCTTCTAGCTTAGGGGGGCACCTTCCCCCACCCACACGGTATCTACAGCTGAGTTTTCTTGCGAAGTACCAGATTTGGAGGGAAGGAGGGGGGGTATAATTGCTGCTCTTTGCCGCCCAGTGCTCGTCCCTCCCCTCCCTGTGCTGTTCGCGCTGGTGACGCTCTGGCAGAAGAAGGAAGTCAGAGGAACAAAGTGGTTTGCAGGGTCGGACACTTACCCGGAGAGGTTCGGAGCCGGTCGGGGTAGAGAAGGGAAGCAGAAGAAGGGGAAGAGGAGGCCAGCGTTGGCCCCTCTGTTTGCCCTTCCCAGAGGCCCTCTGGCTCTGCTGGTGGCAGGACAGTCCGTGCCCCCAACGCACACCCTTAATCCTCCACTGTCAACGTGACGGTGCACTCTGCCCTTCCACGGGTGCCCGGCAGGCTGCTGGGAGGTGTAGTTTTCCTTCCCTCTGGCTCACCAAAGGCGGGTGGCTTTTCCCCAGTGAAGAGCAGTCGATCTCAGGAGCGCTCAGGAAACAATTACTTCTTTTTCGGCTGTATTTCTGAAACTCTGCGGTTGCGCGGGGTTTCCTTCAGGCAGACTGGATGACTGGTGGGTTCCTGCGTTAAGTAACAGCGTTGCAGCTTTAAAAAACTAAATGACGGTGAGGAGGGAACTGTTTGGAGAGTTGATTTATGAAGATGAAAGGTAGCACAAAAAACCCAACCTGAACACGTAGCCAGCAAACACCAGATTCTTGAAATGTCCTGTTGTGCAAGTGCGGGGAGGCTGGGCAGCTGCCGGCTGTGAAATGGAGTGTCTTTAGCATCAGAAGGGCAAGGGATGGGGAGCCCCCCCAGTGCTCCCCTTCCAGCGTGGTCCAGAGAGTGCAACAGGGGGAAGGTCAGAGAGAGTGTGTGTAGCTGCTCCTGGCCTCATTTGGGCAATGTTTTTTCCAAAAAATGATGATCCACACAGGGGACAGGTATGTCCCAACCCCTTCCCTATTCCTCCCTGCTCAGGACACATTTCATGGGACGCAGCGACACGGAGCAGGGCATGCCGGGGAAAAGGCAGCAGTGCAAGGAGCAGCAGCGCAAAGACTGCAACCCTCCTCGAAGTCAGCTTGCAGCCTTCTCACTAACATCCCCAGAGGAGCCCGGCGGCGAACAGAAACACAGGGAAAGGCATCTGAAATGGTGCCTGTAGGGAGCCAGCACTAAATGGCTGGGACTCCTCAATTTGGAGAGCAGAAGGCTGAAGGGGGGGATTTGACTAATGTGTTCACTGAATCCCCCAATACTGGGACTTGAGATATTTATAGAATGGCAAAACAGAAAGGAGAAAGTCCGAGTGGCTGATCTACAGAGGCCAAGATCTCCCTGACAGCCCCGCTCTTGGTTGCCGTCCATCTTGTGTCCCAGCCAAAGGCACGTTTGACTTGATCTGCTTCTAGCCAGAAGTAAGGAACAGCCAAGGAGGCCAAAGGGGACAGGAGCTGCAGGCATCAAGGACGCCATGAAAATCAAAGTATTTTACATCCCCCTGTCTCCACAACCAGCCAGCCAGTCCCTTCATGGTGGGAGGCCATCGGGAACGGGCAGAGGGACCGTCCTGGCCACAGAAGCACGAGTGTCATGAAAACGGTGGCAGAACTCCAGCAAGTGAAAGGCGAGCATGTGGCAAAATCGGGGGGTAGCTTCAGCCTGCGCCGGCTGAGAACCCGGTTACCAAAAAGCAGCCTGGCAGGAGAATGAACTGGTCGGTCTAGGATGTGAAGTCATCCACCATCACAAAACCATTACAAAAAAGCATGTCCAATGCTGCTTTTCTTCCTTTAGCATTCACAAAGTCGTGGGACGGGAGCTAGGATATAGAATTGTAACTTAACAAATGTGGTCTTTTTTTAACTCAAATTTGATGGAGGATTCTATTTAAATAGGAATAACATTTTATCACAATCTGCAGAAGAATCAACAGCGACTAGGTGAATTATAAAGGACACGCGATGAGGTATTTACACAACGTAATCATTTAGTAACTTTCTTTGGAAACTTGCCAGTAAAATGATACTACTTGTAGCTGTAGCTCTGCAAGGTCAGAAATCACGAGCCAGTCACCAGCAGGTCTTTTTCTACTTGATTTGAACTGCATTGGATGGTTCAGCTGTACTTTGAAACCTCCTGATGTGGCATTTGTTACATCCTCTTTTATTGTTGCTTTAGAAAACATTGCTCAATGTCTGGGTTCTGCTTTTACATCTTAAAAGAATGGCAGTATTTACGCTCTTGCTGGTACAGAAGGAGGTATGCATAATGTATCTCACAAATACTCACTTGCTTCTGGATGAAACTGGAACATTTACAGTGTGCACAGAACATGTACACATCTACCCTGTTTACAACCCTGCAAAACAAGTAACATCACAAACGTTGAGCATATGTATTCTGGAGCATTGTAGATTAAGATACTGCCATTACAGATGTCAGTGCCCTCTTCCCCAATCCTGTCTTTTTCTGCATGTAGAAATCCTTCGGAAAGGGCCTCCATTTGCTTAGTGACTTATTTCCGAACTGGTCCTAAACCATTTGCTACCTTGGTAAGCATCTGTGTATCAGTTAGAGAAAGTCTGTCCACTGCCGAAAGACGGGAAAACCAGACACACGCAGGTGTGGAATACTTTCAAACACAACCCTTGTGCATGCTACCGTAGAGTGTGGTACGTGTACACTTCTTACTTGGAGCACCCAGCGCTCCTTCCGACCGCTGCGGGAAGAGAACAGCGTGCAGGCGGCCTGCGGAACGGGGCCACAGCGCTGTCCCTCCG